GAGAGTCATGAAAGCTTTCCATTTTCTTTTGCAGGTAACCTTCAAACGTCCTAGTGAGTCACCACCTGGTCTTAATGGCTGACAGGATTATTGTTTGTTCTGCCGCCCTGTTGCTGAAAACGTAATTATCTTGCTTCTCCTTTTCTGGTCAGCGTAATTATAGGTCTGTTGATTTTGTATAAAAATTCGAATGCATCCAAAATGTTAACCGACAACAAATATACTCGTATGAGTGTATGTGAATGTATATTTTTTAAATTCTATTTTCTTGCAATGATTGGCACAAACTATTTGTTTAACACAACATAATCTCTATGTTTGCTAGGCTATCCGGGACGAGCCGCGACAATGTCATGGTGGCTAACGTTTCGGCCAGCGTATTGTGGCCTTCTTCAGAGCGTACTGCTGAACGCCGAAACGTTAGCCACCATGACATTGACGCGGCTCGTCCCGGACAGCCTAGCCAACATAAACTCCAGCCGCGGAAGCCTACGCAACCAACATAATCTTTAGAGAGAAGTGAAAACAATAATTGTTTCTCACTAAGATATTTCATAGAGTTGATATACTGAATTTAATGAGAAATGTTTGTATTTTGTCGGCTTATATGAATGTATAATTTTGCTTTGTTTTCTATTATCGCATGTTCTATCAGAGATTTCGAAATACAGGGAAATGGCGTAGGCATTTCATTTGTATAATTTAACCCTCGTTTAACTAGGACGTTTCCGAAACACGAAGTTCCCTTGCTAAAGTGCACACGTAGCTGCACTCACGCAAACTGCGTCCATCATCTCTCAGTTCATCCCCAAAGTTCCCGTATTATCGTCGTATGTGTAACATATCGCGGGCCAATTAAGATCCTATTAAGTGGGAGGTTGTGCAAGTGGAACAATCGAACGAACGGCGAAGCGTGCACGGTGAAGTGCTTGGGCGGCGCTTCCGCCTGGGCGTTGATCCCTGGCGCCCCCGCGCCCCAACCTCTGCTGAACGCCGCACGCGCCCCCGCAGTCACGCCACGCCCGTCCACCCGCCCTTTCCCTCCCTTTCCCCCTTCCAATCCCTTTACTCTTCCCCTCCCCCATCCTTTCCTCTCCCCTCCCCTCTTCACCCCTTCCAGAACCTTCCCCTCCCCCCCTCCTGGTCGTTCTCCTCGCGCCGATTAGCGCGGTTCATCGTCGGCAACTGCATGCCCTTCCTTCGCTCTATTATTGTCGACCCGCATCGCAGCAGCCTTCCGTGTCCATAGCTGATCACTTCGCACCTGAACCGCAGCTGAACAAGTGCAAATCCACGCATTACGAAAACGCATTTGAAGTTTTGGGCTAGTGAATAATAAACGACACGGCTACGTATTTACTGGAAATGGAAATCAACTTTAAATCCTTTGCGGCGTCTTCCTACAACTACAAAATTGAAGATAGAGATTTTTCCTTCAAATAAAATTGGTTCCCCATAGTGAGTTATTTCATTAAAGTCATGTACATTTTTTTAAAATTTTAGTAGCTTATGTGCAATATTGCATGCAATTTTAAAAAAATAATAAAAACAAGATTTTCTGCAAAACAATTCCAATTTTTTTAAACTTTTGGTAGGTATAATGCCTAATGTACTTTATGAGATGACATAAACGCCATGTTTCGCTATTCCTCTATTTTTTCAAACATTACAAAAGTGTGTAAATTTTTTGACTTGTCTCTCACGTCGTTTATATTTACATTAGCGGCAATTTGTTCACATTAGTATATTTATGAGTATACGAGCTTTAAATAAAGTTACAGTTTACCGATAAATCCACAGTTCTGTGAAACGTGCCCAAAACTCCACATTTTCAGACACCCAAAACGCCATTTTCTCATACATAGCTCCTAATTTTTTCTTCACACCTATCGAACGGATAGTGCTAGTTGCACTCTTTAATATGACGTAAAGTTCAGTTTCTTTGTTTTGTTGCTTTTATCAAAAATTACACAAATGTATTTTTTTAAGATCTCTCACATAGACATAGAAATAGACAACTAATACGGAAACGTCTGTGTCATTCTGTAAAACCACAAGGTTTTCATGTACAGATGGGTTTTTATTGGCCAAAAATTCAGTTCCTTCTTTGTACTGTAATTATTGAGAAAGTTTTCCCTGGCACCGGAAACATCCGTTTTTCTAGGGAGTTATTAATTTTTACTAATTCTACTTCTAATATCTAATAATAAATTAGGATCACACTCTGGTGTATAAGAGCCCCACGGGCCGCGTCTGCTCGCAAAAGATACCCTAAACCTGCGCCGGAGGTTGGCTTCAGAGCAAGCCTGGTTCAAAAGTACGGGTGCGGAACTACGGCCAATGGCCATCTCCACGTGAATAACCCCATCCGACTCAGCAAGACTCCAAGGAGCAGGTCGCCCGCTATAAGTTAAATATATTTGTTATTTAGGTGTTGCGTTATGGAACAGAACAGCAAATTCTTTTTGTACTCTCCATATGAAAAGAACTGTTGTTCTGTTTATTATAACATACTCTAGTGATTATTTTGATGGATTAGTGATTCCGGGCGCGTCAGCTAAGGTCATTAGTCTCATAAGTGTAGTGCATGTTTTTATCACTAACATCACCTTCATCGTCATCATATCTTAACATTCATGGAAAAAGGGGCACAAGACGACGCGTTCGTTTGCGGTGCTGAGGTAAAACTATTGTTGTGACTGTCCACCTGCAATAGTGGCGGATGGCAATAAGATCCGGTATGTACAGAGGCCGAAGTTCATAATATTTAGAAATATCAAATTCTTAACTACAAAATCTGTTTAAAGGACCGTAATATTTCAATAATTCAAACCGTAATTACAGATAAATAACGTAAGTACTCTTGGTTGAGCGTGTAGAAAGATTCATGAATACAAAATCGTAAATGTTAAAGGGGGTGATTAGAAAACTAGGTGATGCATGACAAGCAACAGTATTTATATGAATGTATTCAATTATATAATTGTATTTATATCAATGTACAAATAGAGAATCCAATTAATAGAAATATAACACAAATCTAAAAATGAAAATGAAAGTTTTGAACGAATTTGTTTTGTACATATCGATTAGGCCAGCTAATAGAAAAGTGAAAATACAGTAAACTGGCCGGGCGAACGTGTGCATTTGTGCATGCGCACAGCCGCTCGTGTTGTCCATATCTTAACGACTTGCTTTGTCGCGACTGCGGCACTGTAAGCACACACGCGCGACCATAATTGGTTCCATCGTCGGGGCTGACAGCTGCGGCTCGGGCCGCGCGGGCGGCTGTCTAGTCGAGGACGGCCGCCCCCGCTATCTTCGTCGATGGGCTCTCGATAACGAAGCGATTCGATCGCGGTTTCGTCGGGGTGTTGCCTCAGCGGCCGTTTAGTCCACAACGTCGCCGCCGTCCGCGCTGCCGCCACCATCACGTCACAATCGCCAGCGCACCACCACCGCCCCAACAGCCTCCCACCCCCACCCAGCGACGGTGATCGCTGCCCTTTCGCCCAACGTCCAGCTTAGTGAGCAACGAACCACGGACCCGAGGCGGTAGATCAGGGTGGATGGCGAGAGGAAAAAGCGAGCCTTTTGGGAAACTCAGCAGTGGAAATGGAATCGCCGAGCAAGAAGCACTGCTGTGTACACAGGGAGGCACATGTAATTAACGCCTTGCAATTGCGGTGGCGCAGCAGTTCGCGACAGCTCACTTCGCTTCACCGCGAAAATGTCGCTCCTCACTTCTTTACTTCGCGATGTCGGAAGCAGTGGAGGGGATGTAATTGAATTGAAACGCGCGAGGGAGACTAATGTGATACTCAAGTGAAAGAGAACACTCATTAGAATAAGAAAACTCATTGTTAGGGTAAGTTGAAGTTCAGGCGAGGGAAGAATATTTGAAAGCATTGATGGATGCGGATATAAAATGTTTATAAGGTACGTAGTTAAATTCACATATGTTAAACGTTGTATACATCTGATTTTTTTTGTTTTTTCTACTGTTTTTAATTCAATTCGGACTCGTTTTGGTTCCAGCTACTCTTTAAGTTCCATATCGTCCAAATTCTTCTTGCGAATTCAAACCTCTAAACTTTCACAATTTCAACACTTTACAATACAAAATATAGGGTGCGGAGAGAAAGTGAGTACAAGATTGTGGCTATACAACAATTAAATATCATAATGCAAACATAATTTGTTCGTCAGAGGTTTACAAATAGGACATTTTAAATTTAATTGTCAAAAATTCGCGTAAAAGATAAGTGAAGAAACATGCGAATAAATTACGAGCTTTGATTTCATGTTCATTAAAACTTGTTAAGAATTTAAAGAATTTTTTAAATATAGTAATCGTATGCCTTGTGGACTTATATATTTTTCATATTAAAGACCAAACTTCTAAGTACCTATTCTGTTATGTCCGCAATTCAATAATTCTACAAAATAATTAGAACGAGTTAATTCCATGTTGTCGTCTTGTCTCTCAACAATGTTAATTTTATTCAACAGAGATCTGAGAATAGTTCTCTGTATTTGTGACTTCTGAACATTACTCCTCAAGAAAATTCAGCCAATTTTCGCCCAGAGATCCCTTTTCGACATTCACAAATTTGAGGTGTAAAAAAGACAGAAAATATGAAAAATAATTAAACGAACCATATCATCTGACTCAAAACTATAATAACAACAACAACAATAATAATAATAATAATAATAATAATAATAATTATTATTATTATAATAATTATTATTATAATAATAATTATAATAATAATAATAATAATAATAATAATAATAATAATAATAATATTTATTTCTATGTTTGAGGTTAAATTCATATCGCCAGTTTTACTATCAGAACGTAGAGGTACAAAAATCTGTTTTCTAAATACCCAATGAGCTCCGGTTACAACTTGCGCCCGGTGTCTCCCACCTCGCGATTTCCATAAGCGTGCCAGCCAGAGTAGCGGACGCCCCTTGTTCTCCCGCCGGGGGCCATGTTCTCCGGCGGCGGCCGCAAGCACACTCAAGCGGCGGCTGCGGCGAAGGGCGACGGCGGCGGCGGCGGCGGTGGCCGGCGCACGGACACCGAGTCGGAGGTAGGGAAGGTTGTCAAGCCACAATAACACGGGGTTATCTTCAGTTTCAGCTGGGTACAATTTTGTACAATTTTGAACATTGCCTGAAACCTTATTCGGTTATCAAATGTAAGATACTGTTTTTTTGACAAAACGGTAAAATACAGAGGAAAACTAAACACTGTAAGGGCCTATGATATTGCCTTTGTAACATAACACAGTGTTACCAATTAACTCATATTTAAGTGAATATTCGTTCGTTTAATTTACCTTTTCTGCAAATTCGATACTCTCCGGTTATTATTTTTTTAATAATTGAATAATTTAATAATTGAAAAATCGTGAGAGCAAATAAAAAATACGGTTTTGGTCATAACCTCTATGTTATTGTAGAGTATTGGAAAGATAAGTCTTCTAGATAAGATTTTCAAGTAATCGTTCTATGGGTTAAAGTGCAGAGATTTTAGTTTGTTCTTTTAGTATTCATGTGATATTCAAGTTTTTCAATAAATAATTTATATTTAGAAAATAAATACACTATATATATATATATATATATATATATATATATATATTGAAGTATTAGGATAAGCATATTTTATTTTAGAGAGAAGCACATTTTATAACACTTTAAATTAATGGTATTATTATGATATCAATTTTATTTGTGATACCAATCGTACTCATTTTGAATCCAGGAGTTGTTGCCGGGACATCAGTAACGTGATGTTTTGACTCGCTTAAATACGGTAGTTATTCACGAAAATGGTTAAAAAAAGCATCAATGATCGAAAACAACATAAGCACACATAAAGTTCGAATGGAAAACAATACCTTTCCCCTGTCAATGCTCACAGTCACACAGCAAAACTGCTCTATTGTCGCGATAAGCTTGTTATGTCAATGAGACATTACTACGCATTGAAGTAGCTACTTCTGCACTTCCATGAAAGGTCATCCAATTCTTTCGCCAATTGGATTCTTTGTGCGTACTTAAACCGGAAAATAATTTTTGGTTGCGATTGCTTTTAACATTCGAAAAGAAATCACATCACTGCGGGAGACCGGCGAGATGCCGCTGCATCAACCCGAGAGAAATGGCCCAGGCTATTGACTAATGTCACTGTAGTGCATCTGACCGGGAGGTCCTAGGTTCGACTTGTGACAGTGGCAGGATTTTCAAAACTAGCTTGTCAGCTAAGTTGAATTCAGTCTCTGTCTGGAGGAGAATATTAGCGGCCGGCTGCTCTGATCGGTAGTTTTCAACGAACACCAGGAAAATGTCGGCGAATATCAACATATGCCGAGTACCCTAACTAACGGGCCACGGATCGTGCGCGATTTTTCTTTCCTCTTCCTTGTCCTATCATCATCGCTCACTTCCTCACATACATACATTTACTCTTATACGCACTGTCCTACGACATACACCGGGAGACAAGTCGGGAGCCCC